GATTGTGCTGCAACCAAGCCGTATTGACTATTTTAAATAGCATTAGTTGAGAAAAGATTAGAATAAAATAGGAGGAATGGTATGTAGCAGTGCTTAGAACTTAGTATTTAACTAGAAATAATAGAATTGCTCATTACAAATCGAGAAGTTCTTTTTGTTACTAAGCCTCATCAATTATCGCTTTCATTCTTTTCTTACTAAACCTATTTAAACATAGTTTGATATGGCTTGCGAATATTATTTGAGATCTAGGAATGATAGAATCGCTCATTACGAATCGAGAAGTTCATTTTGTTACTGAGCCTCATCAATTATCACTTTTATTCTTTTCTTACTAAATTCATTTAAGCATAATCCAATATAAATATCGTTTATTAATTGTGGAAGTAGAGAAATAAGTACATCGATTGAGCTTCTATAAAATATACTAAAAGGGATTAGTTAGTAAATGTATATATTATAATAAAAAAATGTATACCCAGCTTAAAATAAAGACAGGTGATAAAATATTGTTAGCATAAAAAATTAAATGAATCTATTAACTATAGCATTAACAAGTTTATTTTATCCACATAGATTATTTCATAATCAAGTCAAATTAATTGTATTGTAAAATTAATACATATTTTGTACAGGTTGTAAGAAAAAAAAGATATAATAATTAGTAAATTATATAAATATCATAAATTAAACAGGAATATAAAACTTACTATCGCATTATAAAAGCCTTGTTAATAATAATTGTGAATATAAAAGGATGCAAAAAGTCCATATAATCGTTCAAACGCTTGGTGAAAGTTTTCAAAGCTTCTAAAGTTTTAAGATTTGTCAATCGTAATATCTATAGCAAATTAATAATACAATAATCCAAAAAAAAAAAAAGTCAAATTTAACTTCTATAAACTTCTTACTAAACCATAGCGAAGACCATGTCGATTCAAACCAATGCATATCTAACTACATTAATTTAACAACTGAGCCTATTGAATCCAATATTGAAGATGAGTCACAAGAAGCAGACCCCGATGAATATATAAAAATTTATACCTACCTTACATTAAATACATATAAAAATTGGATCAAAAAAATACTTCCGAATATTTGTAGGGCAAACTATATTCAAAAAGACAATAGAGTAAATCATGAGTATATGTTTAATGAAAGGTATGTTTGCCATTGCTCTGGAAATTTCAGATCCACAGCCAGAACAATGGAACAGATGACCCAACTTTTGTCAAACCATAATCCACCTCGCTCTACTCAAAAACCGTCCAATAAAGTGGGTTATAAGTTTTATTTACATGTATCAAAATATCAAAATGAGGGGGAGATACAGTACAAATCTTTTATTACAACCTTCATAATAGGCATGTTCCTGGCTCTGATAAAGATTTATGCCACTTTCGCATATCACAGCAAGCAAAGGAATGGGTCTGTGAAAGAGCAAATGATGGTTTAAAGCCTTCTCAAATTGTGACGATGTTTCATCAGCATGTTAATCAGTTCCACTATGGTAATGAAATAGATTCTTTATCTATTACACAGAGATGAGATACATATCTATCCTATATAGATGTGTATAATATTGTCTGGAAAGAAATGAAAGGAGTAGTATTTTTAGATAATGAATGGGAGGGATACAGTGAAGAAGTTTCACTTAAAGATAGATTGCTTCATCTCAGGAAGACGGGTCCCATACCTTTAGCAACTTTGTTTGGAATTCATCTTTAGGTTTCATATATGGATTTCAAACAGAGTTTCAACAAAATATGTTAAAGTCAAAAGGTGCTAAAACAGTATGCATTGATAGTACACATGGAACAATATCTCACAAGACACATCTCTTCACTTTGCTTATTTGTGATGATGAAGGTGAACAAGATATACCTGTGGCGCACCTAATATCTGAAAAAAAAGCTGGAGAAACATTAATATACTGGTTAAATGCACTTAAAAACCATAATCGGGAATGGAAACCCCACACTTTTATTACCAACTATGATAAAGCGCAACAAAAAGCTATTCATACTGTATGTTTTGATGTTAAAATATTACTTTGCCAATAGCATGTTAAGCATGCATGGCAAAAAAATAAAGGTAAGGTTAAAATGACCTGTAATAATTTTAAACCTCAAGAGACAAACATAAATAGTAGTAATTTGGAATGGACAAAAAAACAAGTCATCCAGAAAGCTACATTGGATGAACTTGATGCAATAATGCGTATTCAGGATGCCTCTCAGGTAGGTAATTAAATTTTAAAATTAAATATATTAAATTTAGTAAAATTCACTACTATATGATTTTACTCTAAATTCGTATATATTAATTACCCGGATGACCCAAGTAATTTACAGGTTTGACAACTAATTTCATACACCCCTATTAATAACATTCTCACTTCAAGTAATAAAAATCAATTAATAAAACATTTAAAAGCGAGTCTGTTCTTAATAGGAGTATACAAAATTAGTTATCAAAGCCTGTAGTAATACTCGGATAAAGATTTCATCAAAGTCCCAATCCTTAATATTAAAATTTGAACGGTTTAATGTCTCTACTTTTAGGCTTATGGTAGATTAGAAGAATATTTTTCTCAATGGGTAGCGTTTGGTGAGGTTCAGTGGGTAGAATATATAAGAAAAGAATATTTGAATAATTGCGAAAAGTGGATAGATGCTTATCGTCAGTATGAACATCAAGAAATGAACACAACGAACTTCATTAAATCATGGCACAAAAAATTGAAATATACACACCTGGGGGCCAGACAAAATTATAGAATCGATTCCTTGATTTGGACTTTACGAGCTGCCTTAAAAGACTTAGAATTTGAGCATGAAGCCGTTTGTTTAATGATTGGAAGAATGAAACCCTGACAAAAAGAATAACGGCGGTGTGAACTTGCTAGTTCAGATTTAGATATCCATTCCCTTCCCGGAAATCGACATTATCTTGTAAAATCATCAAAAGATGATAGTAATTATGAGATTAATATAAAAGACCACATGCAAAAAACTGATAACATAAAACCTGCGCACTTTGAATGTACTTGTCCCGATTTTAAGTTCTGGGGGATAGCATGCAAGCATGTTTTTGCTATATGCCAAAAGTTTTATTCAGAACCAATATCGCATGCTACATTTACTCAAAAAAAACAAGAGCCTAAAAAAATCACTAATATCAAATTTAAAGATTGGTTTAGTGCAATTCAAAGGGTTTGGGATTGCTATAACCAAACAGATCAAAATCAAATAATTGGTGCTGATTTGGAAACCATTGTAGATGCCGAGTTAAGAAAAAAATCAAATATCTCCTTATATGATGAATGCAAAATCTCTAAATCTGATGAAGATAAAACCTATGGTTATATCAAGAAACAAAGGCATAATATATAGTATTAAATATTTTATTATTCATAGTTATAATAAATTCAAAGTATT